AACCGACGACCCCACCACCTGGGAACAACAACTGCTGCTCATCGAGTTCGCGTACAACAACTCACCTTCCGCCACGACCCAACAGTCACCATTTTACCTGAACTACGGACAAGACCCGACAGTACCCACGACCCCGAATCCCGACAACTCGGTGCCACGAGCACAACAACTCGCCGAAATTTTACAACCAGCACGGACCCGGGCAGCCGACGCAATTAAACAGTCGAACATCATCGCTAAACGCAACGCCGACCGCCACCGCCAACCTGTCACTTACCAGCCCGACGACCTCGTTTTACTTTACACCCAGAACCTCCGCCTGCCCATTACCCCAAAACTCCGCCCTCGATACTGTGGGCCATTCCGCATCAGCCACATGATTACACCCGTCACCGCCCACCTCCTCCTCCCCGCTGACTGGTACGCCAGTCCATCTTTCAACGTCACCCTGCTTCGCCCCTACGTACCATCCACAAGCCAATTGCCACGCAATCGCCCAGCGAGCATGACACGACCGCCGACCGAGCCAATCATCACACCTGAGAAAATTCTGAGCCACAGAATTCGTGACCCACGAGGAGCTCGACGGATCGAATTCCTGATCCGCTGGAGAGACCGCACACCCACCGAAGACAACTGGGTTCCCCTGGACAGAATCGAAAACCACCCCGTCCTCACAGAGTACCTGCGCAGCCGAAATTTCCGGGATATACACGCGCTTTCGTAAGAAGGGTCTCCTTAGGGGGGGGGGGGGAGTGTAAGGAAAATTCATTTTCCTTACTTCGCACCCCTGCTCAGCGCGTACACCACTGTAGCACCACAGTCAGCACCGTTACCGTATGGCCCCGGATATAAGCACAGGCCTATGTTAAGCGCATGCGCTTGTATCTGGAGCAATGCGCTTATGGCCGATCCTCAATTATAAGCGCACCCCTTGGGAAATCGTGACTTATTATAAGCGCACCCTTTTAGTTTAAAAAAAATATCATTCTTTTTTTTTACCTACCTAGCCTACATGTTCTAAACTTTCCATTAACTTAGACAATCACATACAAGGGTGGTCTCTGCTGTCCTGCACTACACACCTTTCAACCTGCCTAGTCTACCCTACTGCCTATTCTTCCTCCTCGTCCGACTCGGGCTCCGTGGAGTTGTTGCCCCAGAACCCATCTGCCTGGATGTCGTCGTCCACCTCCACCTCATGGGACAACTGGCCTCTCCGGTGCGCCAGCACCAGTTTGTCTTCGCTCCCATCAAGGGCGTTGCTGATGCCGCACATGAGGAAGGCTTTCTTGATGAGGTCGGCGGGCACCGCCTTCCACGCCCGTGAAATCCACTTGAGCACCACCTCCGGAGGTGGTTTCTTGATGTTCCCTGCATCACACGGAGTGGGGCGGGGAAAACATGAGACAAGTAAACATGCATACAAGCTCAAGATTTGCAGACGGGAGCACATGTCGTCACTCACCTGCCGGGGTCAGGATGTTCATGCCGTCCTCCTCAAACCAATTCTGGTACTGCTGACGAATGCTTGCTTTGAAGCTCTTATTGATCGACACATCGAGGGGCTGCATGTGTGCCGTGCATCCCACCGGAATGATCGCAGGCACGATGTTGAGCGCCGCGAATCTCTCCTTGACTTCTGGTGTCAGGTGACCGCGATAGGAGTCGAGCACCAGCATGGCGCTACGACTCTGCAGGCCGAATTTCGGCTTCAGGAAAACGGCACCACGCCCGTGTTGAGCCACTCGATGACGCCAGCGGCCTCCATCCACCCATTCGCTTGGCAGCCGACCACAACATCTGCACGCAAGGAAAAGGAAATAGTTGACGACTCTGGTAGTAACGGGAATAAACACGCGCGACGATCACTTACCGTTCGGGAAGTCACCCTTGGGGAGTGTCTTGCACTTGAAAAACACCCACGGCTTCAGCTTCTCGCCCGTCGCCGTGCACGCAAGCATGACGGTCACTCTCTCCTTCTGGTTCCCACCGCTGTGGATGGGCACCGACCTCACGCCCGTCTGCTCCACGGTGGTCGTCGCCGGCATCTCCAACCACAGCGGTGTCTGGTCGGCGTTGATGATGTAGCGGTTGTCAATGTCGTATTCGTTCCGGGCGTCACGTACGTACTGCCAAAAATCCTTGCACCGCTCAGCCACGTCTGCGGAACAGGGAGATAAGTACATATAGTAAACCAAATTAGTATCACGCACAGGAGACATGTGAAAAAGAAACTAAGCATAATCGGGATAAATCAAAATCAGCAGTAAACGACCCACTTACGCTCCTGTGTTTTCTGCGCCACCTTTGTTTTCATGCGCACGCTGAGGTTCCACCGCTTGTGGAACCGCTCCGTCCACCGCTGACTGCCTTTCCACTTGACGTCCGGGTAGAGAACCTTCATCACTTCTTTGGACCACTCTTGCAGCCGGCCGACCGAAACCGCAACTCCGCGGCGTCGCCAGTCGAGGAGTTGCGCGTACACCTTTAACTCCATGGGGCGGTACCAAGACGCCCTCCCGCGCCCGTGAAGTCGCATCCGTGCTCCGTGTGCAGCCTTGAGCGCCTCCGCTTGGGCTTTCCATTCTGTCAGACATTTTCGGTGTATGCCTGACTCCCGCGCCACTTCGCTCACCGAAGCCGCAAGCTCGAGCCGCACGAGCCACCTCAACTTCTCCTGGGCGGTGTAGGACTGCCGCTTATGTTGAGTCTGCTTGTGCCTGTGGGAGGGGGGGCGGGCATCTCGATTCTCGGTAGACAGGTGGGGGCGTTTTTTGTTAAGGGGCGGATACGTCGGTACCGGCATCTTCGCGCGTGGTGCGTCACGCCACCAGGACTCCACACCGTCCTCGTCCTCCGCAGTTGTGTCACGGTCGGGGAACACGTCTTCCTCGTCGCCCGCTGCACCGTCGCCACCAGCTTCACCGTCGCCTCCAGCTTCGCCGTCGCTGCTGTCATGTTTGTCGGCAGCCACATCATCGTCGGCGCCCACAGCCGACTCATCCCACGCGCAGGCTTCTGGTTGTCCCCACCATGGTGCAGTCGCCGGAGCTTGGATGCGTGCATCGGGGGCCTTGGGTGTGTCCGCTTCAGCCAACCATTCGTCGAACGTGGCTGGTAAATACAGTTGGAGCACGGGCCGTTGGTGAGCACCTGCCGTAGCAAAAGCAGGCGGATTCGGAGGAGCGGGAGGTGCGGGAGGAGCGGGTGGAGCAGGAGGCACAGGGGGAGCAGGAGGAGCAGGGGGTGCAGGGGGATCCGGTGGCACTGGAGGCGCTGGTGGCTCACGGGTATACCACCCGTCCTCGGTAAGTCGCCATGTGCGGCGTGGTTTTTTCTTGAAGAGGATGTGAGTCCCACTAAATTCCGCCATGGAAACTGAATGAAAAAATTAGAGACGAGGGTGAAGAAATGGGCAACGACGGGGACCCCTGCTGCGTGGCGGCTCGGGTTCCTCGTCGATGACAGGCAGGAAACCCCCGCCTACTCCCGTAGAGGCGCCTGCGTAGCAGCATCTACGCTGCGCTGGCAGGGAATCTTGCCGAACCTTCGAGATGGTTCTGCCCGAATGCACATGCCACGCAGCGCATGCGGCTCTGATTGGGCCGCACGGCAACATCCTCGTCACGGCTGTCACATTCGATGTTTCCAGACAAGATTGTGCGGTGGGAAACCGAACCGCTGCGGTTTCTGCCTGAAAACCATGCACGATCCCACTTGGTGCATGGTCGGTTGAATTCGCCTTATTGAGAGCTTCACAATGGTGTGTTCAAAATTGATTTTCATTTTATCCTTTATACAAGCGCATGCGCTTATAAATCTGACTCAATTATAAGCGCACCCCCCCAAAAAACAATGTTTTATTATAAGCGCAGGTGCGCTTATATCCGGGGTATTACGGTACCACTCGCAACCCTCGCATCGACAATCCTCCCGCCACCTTCGCACGTCACACCCCGACCTCACGGCTCGGCAGGTAACCCGCGCTCCGGGCCTCCGCCTCGACATTTTCCCAAACCTCGGTTCCAGGCCCGTCGCGTGTCACCCACAGTTCATTACCGTTACCACTGTAGTTTCGCTATATATTGTTCGCTCATGCTTTCGCTCATTGTACTCTTGCTTCGATAGTGCAATTCTCTTTCGATCACTCAATTGCACTCGTAACACTAGGCTTCATTCTTCATTCGGTAGTTGATAATGACACTCTTTGTAAGGAATTTTCCGGATTCCTTACTGGGTCACACTGTACGCGTACAACCCCGACTTTCGGAAAACCAGGCTCGGCCCGCCGACCTCGCCTTCCGAGCCTCCACCGCGTCGCTTTCGGGTTTTCCAACCCCGAACCTGCACCCAACCATCTCGCGACCCCGCGACCTCGGCCTAGCTAGCCTTGCTATATTGTGCCTAGGCCTCGTCGTTCATTCAGACGTTGTAATCACTTCCGCATTATTGAGTTCTGCGCACTCTTTCCTTTCACAACTTATAACACTCTTGATGTTGAATTCCATGCACTCTCTTCCTTACACTAGGCTTCATTCTTCATTCGGTAGTTGATAATAACTAGTTGATAGCTAGTTGCGTGCATATAAGCTTCAATACGTCCTTACACGGTTAGTTTTCCAATTGAGAAGGGTGCTGCGGCGCAAATTCCCTCATTATTACGTATAATATCATGACCATTTACAAGTCAGCTTAGAAGCAGGATTCCTACTGCTAACACAATTCCCGCATTGGAAAAGCGGAATTAGACCATTACCAACTATTAGTTCCGTATGAGCTAGGGGCGGGCGACATGCGGCCTCAGAAGAGCACCAGCGCCATCCAAGGCGAACCCAACTGTACCGCGGAGAGTTCCTCTGACCGCACCGCGGATGGAGTCAGCCTCGGGCGTCAGCAGCTCCGGCGGGATGAGCAGCGTGCTCGTGCCCTGGATCGTGAAGTCCGTACCAACCCACAGGTTTGGCACAGCCAGCACGCTCGGTAGTTTCGCCGCGCCCTTAAACGTAACGGTCGGCAGGCTCTTGGGGCCGCGCTTCGTGACCATGTTTCCCTCGAGAGTGTCGAGCTCCGTGCCGGCCGGCATGTTGGTGAGGTTGCGGAAGAGGTAGCGCGTGGCGATTGTTGTACGACAGAATTGTTGTCTGCTGGTCCTTGGTGTAGTTGCGAAGCAGTGCGATGTTGGCGGGCAGAAGAACAGTCAGGTCGGTCAGCGGGATGAGAGATTTCACTGGTGGGAAGAAATTTGGGTTGGGACACAAATAGAAACACAGGCAGTTGAGCATTAGAAATTGAAGTGCCAAGTTTAACCAATCTTTGACAGATTCTGCCATGCCAAAAACGGATAAGAGAGCCTTTTGACGAGGCTTCAGTACAGAGGTTGAGAGAGGTTGAGTGAAGATGAGTGAGGCTGCATGCACAACGTACAATAGTCGTCGACAAATTTGAAGATCGCCTTGTATTCCGGCCGCTTCCCGATGAAGTCAATGGCTCGCCCCACTTCCCCGGGGTTGAGTGCTGACACGTCGCTGACGTGGCATACCGCGACTACGGCTAGCAGCAGCACGGCGAAGCGATGAATCGCAGCCATTGTCCAACGATAGGCAGAAATGGGAAACCGCAGGTGTGCGTCAATGGTAGGTGGACCAAATGGAGCGAGCTGAGACTAGTAGCTCTGGCGACGGAACCGATAGATAACTGAGAATACGTGAAAATGAGCGAGTTACAGGAAAGTGAGATGATGGACGACTGATCGACTGGTGAGATGAAGGGGCTGGAAGCTTGATAGACTGGATTTTGAGGGATTGATTTGTGGAGGGAATGGATGAATTGAACTCCAATGTGCAAAATCTCCAAATTTGAAGCTCGCGCAAAAGTGCATCCCGCGCTTTCGCCAAGTCGGAGGATTCTTGCGAAATTCTCGAATCTCGCACCCCACCGCCACCGCGTGAATTCCGCTGCCGCACAGACGCCCGAGGAAAGGCGCTGGGGAGGCGGGGAAAGGGAGCGAAGGATGCCTCCGGCGGTGGATCGTTTCGCTGAGCGACTCGTTGTGTGAAAGGTCGACTGATTTATTTGTCGCTTGCCGTATAAAATTCCGTCGCAGCGGTGGCTGGTGCTGCCTAAGAACCGACAGGGTAAGCGACCGTTAACAATGGAAAACGCCACATAGTGTGCTTCGGAAACCATATATACTTAGCATACTTTTTAAATAGCACAGATATGGTACGCGGTAATTGTGCCCCTTATGGGCAAACATTACTACAAATAATGATTCTGACACATTTACATCAGATTTGATAAATTCCTGAATGAGGTTCTGGTTCTAACATGGCGATGGAAAACGGGAAGTGCTTCTGGAACAAGGGAAGAATGCCATGAGGATGCAAGTGCGTAGATGATAGGTGTGGGTCAAACTCGGGCATTACTCGGAACCACCCCGCATGCCGCATCGCACTCTTCACCTTCCGCCTGTAAATGCGGCAAGTAAATGAAAGTGGAAATGCGTTTATTAGACGGAAGGGGAAGGGGGAGAGAGTGAGGTTGTTAAGGTGGCTTGCACATCGAGAGAGTGAAGTTTTGAGAGAAGGGAAGGGAAGGAGAGAGAGAGGACGGAGGGGGAAGCAGGAGAGGAAGAGAGGGAGAGAGAAGGGGAGAAGGGGAGACAGGGAGAGGGGATATGGATGGAGATCGTACCAAAACACCTCACGAGTAAGAGGCAGTCGTGACGTAACAATAACACCCCCCCCCCCCTCCTTCTCCCCATTGAGCGTGCTGGCGAGCATCTTATGGTCGTGGACTTTTAGGGACCAGGAGGTAGTACCCCAACCCTTGAACCCCCACCCTAAGCCCTCACCAGTAGGTGACGGTCTTGATGTATCGGTAAAACCCCGGGCCCCCATTGTGCGTGCGAGCGAGCGTCTCATGGTCGTGAAACTCAAGGGAACAGGGGCAGTAGCGCAGCCAGTAGTTGACCATATGCCTTCAACCCAAACCTCAAACCTTGAACCCAAACCCGTGACCCTCACCAGTAGGTAGCTGTTTTGATGTATCGGTAGAATCCCGGGCCGCCATTGTGCGTGCGAGCGAGGGTCTCGTGGTCGTGGAATTCGAGGGACCAGGGGCAGTAGCGCAGCCAGTAGTTGATGACGGTGCGCTCGCTGTGCTCCACCGACCAATGGCAGTCCTCGTAACACAGTGGCGGGCGGTGCTCCAGCCACCACGCATCCGTGTGATAGTCGTTGCTGAATGGGGGGGGAGAGGGAGGGAGTGGGGGGGGACAGAGGAGATAATAAATCAGTGCTAAGGGGGGGGGAGCGAGGAAGACAGGGGCGGGAGGTGCTCCGGCCACCACGCGTCCGTGTGATAGTCGCTGCTGGGGAGAGAGAGGTGGGGGGGGAGAGGGGGCGGAGGTGGGCGGTGGGCAGGAAATGGGGAGAGCCCGCCCCATCATCCCCCACAGGGGGGGGTTCAATTCAATGAAGCTGGTCTTTACGAATCTCATTGCATCCAACAGCACTCGTTTGTGTCACTTTTGTGAAAATTTAGAGTGACAATCCTTTTCGCCCTCACGTGCACGTTCAACAGTTCACACACCTGATCTGCAGGGGGCCGATGGACAGCCCATCATCCCCCACAGGGGCGGGTTCAATGAAGCTCGTCTCCACGTATCTCATCGCATCCAGCAACACGCGGTAGCGCTTGCGGTAGGCGTCGATGTCTGTGGGAGGGAGGACAGGGAAGGGGACAGGCGTGGAAGGGGACGGACGAGTGGGTTCGATAAAGCTGGTAACGACATACCAACGTATCTCATGACATCCAGAAGCACTCGGTAGCGCTTGCGGTAGGAATCGATGTCTGTACGTGGTGCGAGTTTGGCAGGGCAAAGGGGAATGCTGATCAGTGGGCTCAATACAAACTCGTCTCCACGTATCTCATGGCATCCAGCAGCACTCGGTAGCGCTTGCGGTAGGAATCGATGTCTGTACGTGGTGCGAGTTTGGCAGGGAAAAGGGGAATGCTGATCAGTGGGCTCAATACAAACTCGTCTCCACGTATCTCATGGCATCCAGCAGCACTCGGTAGCGCTTGCGGTGGGCATCAATGTCTGAGGGGGGAGTAGCACGCAAGGGTGAGGATGGGCAAAGGGACGGACGAGTGGGTTCAATGGAGGCGGGGCAGCACATGGTAGCACTTGCATTAGGCCTCAATGTTTTGGTATGCACGGGCGAGGATGGGCAATGGGACGACGAGTGAGTTCAATGAAGCTGGTCTTAATGTATTGGGTGGCATCAAGCAGAACACGGTACCGCTTGCGGTGCCGCACCTGCTCCCCTCTCCATCCCCCCTCTCACTCCTGGGTAATGGAACACTCACATCCTCACCCCAACTCATTCCCCACCCACTCCACCTGCTCGCTCCCGCCCACTTCCTTTCCCGCCGACCAAACTCTCTCTTGGGTGGTGGAAACGCGTCCTGCAAGTTGGCATTCCGCATCATGCCTTTCACCTACTCGTTGTCGGGGTATAGCCTGTCCGTCACTCGACATGCGTGTCACACTCATCCACTTCCCACCCGCCCATTCCCACCCTCTCACATTCCCTCTCACCCCCCTACTCACCACTCCTAGGAGGCGGGAACACGTCCCAGACGTTGGCATTGCGAATCGTGCCTTTCACCTTCGCCTTTACTCCTTTCAGCGCCACCAGTGCACAAGCAACACCACCGCCAGACGTAGCAGCACATCAGACCCACCCATTCCCACCCTCCCTACATCCCAACCCTTCCCCTCAACTCACTCCTGGGCGGCGGAAACACGTCCCAGAAGTTTGCATTGCGCATCGTGCCCTTCACCTTCGCCTTCACGCCTGCCAGCGCCACCAGCGCGCGCGGCCGTTCCACCGCGTCTGCAGGCAGCAATAGCTCGTCGCCGGGGTATAGCGGGTCGGGAATGCTCGCGTTAAGAGATAATAGCTCGTCTAGAGTGAGCCCGAAGCGCAGGGAGATGTCCCACGCCGTGTCGCCATCGCGGACTAAGACTGACTTGGTCTTAATCTCCTTTTTGCTAGAAGTAGAGGCATTTGCGCCGCTCCCACTGCTCTCGCCCATCCCGCTGCTCCCCCCGTTCCCACTGCTGCTCCCGCTGCTGCTGCTGCTCCCGCCGCTCCCGCTACTCCCGCCGCTCCCGCTACTCCCGCTGCTGTCGCGAAGGCCCTCGGGGCTGCTGTCCGCGGCGGTGTTGGAGGTGCTGGCGGTGCTGGCGGCCGCGGTCGCGGTGGCGGTAGTGCTGACACGTAAGCACGGCTGCGGGGACTCTCGCGCGTAGGGGGAGGAAGAGGGTGAAGGGGAAGTGGTTGCTTGCGCGGGGGTCAGCAGCGGGGGCGCGGAGAGGGACACGCGCGCGGAGGCGTTTCCGGCAGAGTTTTGCGCCGTTTCAGAAAGGGACACGCGCGCGGGGGACACGGGGATATTAAGAACGTCCCCGGAGTAAATAGTGTCCGACGTCAGCTTGTTAAACGCCTGCAGCTGCTCGCAATCCACGCCGAATTTCACGGAGAGGTCCCAGAGCGTGTCGCCATCCTCTACCACTACCGTCTTAGTAGCTGCTTTCTGAGACGAATCGAATAAAGACTTGAAGAACGAGACTCCCCCGCTGCCGATGAAAGAAACGCCGCCGCGGTCCCCGTTGCTGCCATTGCTGCCAGAACTGCTGCTCGCGGTCCCAGGGCTTTGACCGAATCCCATTGGTCTGCTAGTGCAGGCTGCTTATGGCCTACCGGCCTACTTATGCCGCTTTAGGGCAAACCTATGTCCTACGTTTAAGCTAATTATGGCCTATTTTTGGCCTGTATATCACTCCTGCATTGCTGAAATGCGTATCATTGTCTTCAAGCAACAGACTATAAATCACTCTGGGCCACTCCTCGTCACGGCGCCATGTCCTGTGAGTGCCTCATTACGAGCGCATGCTAGCTAACGTTTCCGCCGTCTCAAACGCGGACAAATCCGTCTCTCCATTCTCATATGGAAACTAGCTTGCTTGCTCGCGTAACTGCTCGTTCGCGTGGTCTGCGTGCGTATGTTTCGGCTATTGACCCTAGATACGACCTCGCTACGGGTCAAACGCAAGCTCCCCGCGGAGTTCTTTCCGCGAGGGCTGCTCCCGCTATGGCGAAGCACGAAGCCGGAATACGAACAGCTGACTACTCTGGTGAGATGCAACAGCAACGCCGAAAGAGCACACAGCTTAGGGAAACGCGCTCCTGAAAAGTAGCGACAATAACGAATCAGCAGAAAGTACATATGATGGCCTAGGTAAGTGAAACAGTATTTTCTAAAAAGTAGACTCCAGCGTTCAGCCTCAACTAAATAGTAGCCTCGAGATTGCACAATGCACCCGCGCAGCAGCGACGGGACCATATCCCTGTCCACCGTCCGATCTCCTGCCAACATCAACTTCGCCTGTCAGCCCTCGATGATAGGCAACTCTCGAAGGCCGCTGAGTTCAGCCGTTTTGTTTCTGGTCACTCCGCTACTGCTCGTGATAGCTGCACTTCGGATTTCAACAGCATCCCGTTTATTATGCAAAAATATAAGGGAGGAATTATAAAAAGCACAAGACCAGCCAGCTTGTGATACATATCTTTTAATGTCATCAACAGAAGAGCAAGTGTAAGACCAATATTAACAGCTGCCATTACTACATCTAATATGAAAACAAACTGTTTGTTGACTAGGTAGAAGCTACTGTTGCAGCAGCCCTGGCTAAGCTATATCTGTAATCGTGATCAAAAGACCAGAACATGTAACCTCCCAGCCATTGCTGCTTGGCATACTTGACCTTTTTAGAAATCGTGTCAGGATTGTCATACCCCACCCATTTGGTCCCTTTATAAGCATACATCGACGAGGATGGCGAATCAAATGCAGATGTAGCACCACCCGCAATGAACTTCACAATGTCTTTGTAGCTCATAGTGGGACCTCCTTTAGCAGATGCCCCAACCCCATGGCTTGCAGCAGACTTGAGCGTCCACACATGACCATAGGATGCCAGACCCAGCACCAGCTTACTTCTTGACAAACCCTTGGCAATAAAACCTGCAACAGCACCTTTGATGCTCAATAGCGGGTTTTTCTTGTCTTCCAGAGCAGTGTGCTGCGCAGTCACGTCGTCCCACTCCCCGTGAAACTCATACGCCATTATACCCACCCAGTCTAGCACTTTGTTAAGTGTCGATATCTGGTAGCAGGAATCAATCTCCCCCGCATACCCTGTCACAGCTGCCGAGAGCGTGAGCTTCGCACGACGTGTCCGGGCAGCTTCAGCGTCAATTGCTGCCCGAAAATCCAAAATCAAAGCTGAAAACCGGCCCGGCATCCCCTTTGGAAGCTCCCAGTCGATGTCAATCCCCTGAAACCCGTACCTTCTCGCCAACGCAATCCCTGAGTTGATGAACTTTGTGCGGCGCGCTTTGGTAGCCGAAACATAAGCGAACCGCGGTGCGCTGACAGCATCGCCACCGCCGATGGAGAGAACTGACTTGACTGCTGGGTTCTTGGCCTTGATGGCTGCTGTGAAGCGGGTGTAGAGGCCGTGATAGATGTCCGTCCACCACTCATAAGGCACCACCTGGATGTGGGGAAGGAAGAAACAACGACGAGGAGAGAAAGGAGAGGACTGGCTTGACTGCTGAGTTCTTGGCCTTGATGGCTGCTGTGAAGCGGGTGTAGAGGCCGTGATAGATGTCCGTCCACCACTCATAAGGCACCACCTGGATGGGAGAAAAAAGGTGAAGCACGTGTTGACTGATGAAGCAAAGTGGTACGGTGCCAGGAGAGCACGGGGCTTACAGTGTAGTTGAGGGGGCTGATGGCTGCAAAGGCGTAGACGATGTGAGTGAAGTGGTTCACTTGGAAGGTGCTGGGGTCGATGCCGCTCCAGTTGGGGAAGTAGGTGATGCGGCGGAAGGAAGCTGAGCACGTGTAGGGCGAGAGGTGTGAGCAAAGGGGTGGGAGCAAAGGGGGCAATCATGAAAACGTGCTGGGGTGGATGCTGCTCCAGTTGGGTAGTAGGTGACGTGGCAAAAGGGAGCTGCGCCAGTGCCCGTGCTGTGCGGGCCTGCGCAAGAGGTGGAGCGCATGAAGACGCTGTCAGAACTGTGTTGGCATGCGTGCATGACCATGTGCATGCATGTGTGCATGTCCGTGTGCATGCATGTGTGCAGCATGGATGGGTTGGGATGATGCTCACTCAATCTGGCAAGACCACCTGAATCACCTGAACCATATACATTATATGACGTATCTTACTCATGTGAACATCTCTGAAGTGCCGGAGAACATCGAATGACCAGAAACATCCTAAATAATACACGAATCAACAGAATCAACACTATCATCCGATGCATCTCTAATTTATCTGAGGCCTCTCAATCGTCCTCACCAGAACACGGCCCGTTCTTGCATCCTGCACCGCAGTAGGAGGAGTTGCTTCCACACCAGCCCCACTTGCTGCGTGCAAAAGAGAGAGCGACGGACAAGGCAGGTGGATGAGAGGCGCCGGGTAGGAGAAGAAGGGGAAGGGACGAGAGAGGCCAGGGCGGATGGGAGGTGAGAGAGAGAGCAGTGGGGGAGGGCCTGGCTGTGAAGCCAAATCAATACAAAAAAAAAAGAAAGCGCTCGCATGAGAAATCAATGAGCTTAGAAAAGAATTGAGTTTGCGTCCTGGAACAGAGGTTGTGAGACCTTCCAGAACTCCAAGAAGAAGATTATGAAGAGATTTTTGTGCTATGAAAGCACCGTCGGGCCGAACGGCGTGTTCTGGAGCATGAAACGATGGGAAGGAGCAGGGAGAGGAAGGTCGTCAGCTGATCTCCGGCAGCATCATCATGATGAAAGCCTAGGCTCGGGTGGTGAGCGTCTCAAAACGGACCTGCAGCATAGGCTCGGCGGATTACACGGCGAGGAGCTCTGGACCAACTTCGGGTCAGCCATTTCCAGAAATAACCATAAATATATATGTATATATAGGAAACAGCAGCTGATGTGGCGACTAAGCCTAAACCGTTGAAGCAGCGGCCTTGGCTAAACTATATCCATTATCTTGATTAAATGACCAGAACATGTAACCACCCAGCCCTTGCTGCTTTGCATATTTTACCTTAACTGCAATTGTGTCGGGATTGTCGTACCCGACCCACTTCGTCCCCTTGTAAGCATACATCGATGAAGTCGGGGAATGAAACACAGCCGTAGCACCATTCGCGATGAATGTGACTATCTCCTTGTAGCTCATAGTGGGGCCTCCTTTAGCAGGTGCCCCAACCTCGTGATTCCCGGCATTCTTAAGAGTCCAGGCATGACCATACGATGCCAGACCCAGCACCAGCTTACTTCTAGACAATCCCTTGGCAATAAAAACTGGCACAGAGCCCTTGATGCTTGCCAATGGGTTTTTCTTGTCCTCCAGGGCTGTGTGTTGCCCAGTCTCTGCTTCCCACTCCCCATGCATGTCATATGTCATGATTCCCACCCAGTCCAGCACTTTGTTCAGCGTTGGGATATGAAAGCTGGAATCAATCTCCCCTGTATACCCCGGCACTGCTGCCGACAGCGTGAGCTTCACCCGACCTGTCCGGGCAGCTTCAGCATCAACAGCTGCCCGGAAATCTTGAATCAGCGCTGAAAAGCGCGCTGGAACACCCTTTGGAGTCTCCCAATCGATGTCAATCCCCTGAAAACCATACTTCCTGGCTAAAGCAATCGCCGAGTTGATAAACTTAGTGCGCCGCGCTTGAGTAGCTGAGGCATAAGAGAATCGTGGTGCGCTGACGGCATCACCACCGCCGATGGAGAGAATCGGCTTGACTGCGGGGTTCTTGGACTTTATGGCTGCGGTGAAGCGGGAGTAGAGGCCGTTAGAGACATCTGTCCACCACTCAGAGGGCACCACCTGGAGGAAAGGGAGGAAGAGAAAAGGAGATAGTAAGGGGGAACGCGCGTTCACCGATGGTTCTTGGTTTTCATGGCTACGGTGAAGCGATTGACAAAGCCGTGGCATTATATGAGGGAGGAAGCCAGAGGGAGAGAGCATGAAGGGAGAGAGCATGAGGGAGAGAGTGCGAGGGAGAGAGTGTAAGGAAGAGAGTGTGAGGAAGAGAGTGTGAGGAAGAGAGTGTGAGGAAGAGAGTGTGAGGAAGAGAGTGTGAGGGCTTACGGTGTAGTTGACAGGGCTGATGGCCGCGAAAGCATAGACGATGTGAGTGAAGTGGTTCACTTGGATGGTGCTGGGGTCGATGCCGCTCCAGTTGGGGAAGTAGGTGATTCGGCGAAAGGAAGCTGAGCCGCTGCCTGTGCCTCCTGTGTCCGTGCACGGGAATGAAAAAGGGTCAAAGGATAGTGAGCGATGAACAGGAGCCATGCAGGCACATCCTAAGAACAAGAATCATCCTAACCATCCAAATCAACGAAATTGTCCGAATTTTGCAAGTCTTCTACATGATCCGAATTATTCGAAACATTCGGTTTATCTGAATCTTTCGAACCATCCTCACCAGAGCACGGCCCGTTTTGGCATCCGTCACCGCAGTAGGAGACGTTGCTGCCGCACCAGCCCCACTTGCTGCGTGCAAAAGAGGGTGAGAAACGAAGAAGGCGCAAGGAAAAGGATTCAGTGTTTTGTGCTAATATTCGTGAGGATGAAAATGTCTGTTGCGCTGAAAGCACGAAACGACCGGAAAAGGCGTGTTCTGAAAACATGAAACGGCAGGAAGGATGAGAGAGGGTTCTGAAAGAATTTAGAAGACCTGCAAGGATACGCTCGGCGAATGACACGACTGTTATATAGAACTCTGTTGAGCGTATTTTGGGGTTTCTATAAAATTCCTCCTGACGGACATGCAGCAAGATACTAGGCTCGGGTTGTGCGACGTCTCAAACTAACCTGCAGCATAGGCTCGGCGGGTTACACGGAGAGGAGCTGGAGCACTGTTGAGCTCGCGCTACTGGCATCGAAATCAATGCGATGGCGATGGAGAGTAGTAAGGTGCCGGAGGCGCGAAGCACGCTCGCATCGTGGAGGCGCCACGGAGGAGCCATGGAAACTAGCGAAGGGATTGCTATCGGCTGTAATAATAATGACACAGAGAACCAGTGACGCGAGCAGATGAGGCTGAGATGTATGACGAGAATCCTGAATATTTAGCGGTTTCTGCTGGTGCGTGCTTGCGCTTTCAAAAAAGCGACGATTATTGTTGCTAGATTGCTGCTGAGAAGACGAAGGATGACGTGACGATTATTGCAGTCGGGGATCCGCGTGGTGGTGATATCAGGGAGAGGGCGAACAAGAGTTGCGGATACGGCACGTATCCAGAATCAATCTGGTAACCGCTCCAAACGAAGCCTTTTTTGCCAGTGACGGGTTGCTTCGCCTCGGCACCTATGGCGAAATTCATGTTCCACCACCGCAAACAACGAAACCAACGATGGCAGTTGGGCAGATGCTACCAACCTCGCGAAGCGAGTCGCACACTGATTTATCTGGGGCTCGTCAGCCCGAAGCCTGTGGCGGGTCCTCTCTGGCTTCTTTTCGGTCTGACAAAAAGCATGCGGACCACCCGTCGGACCGGTTCGCGGACCAGTTACGAAACACCACCTCCGCTCGATGCGGACCAGCACTGGAACGAGTGTTGCGAAACATTCGAGAGCGAGTGTTACAAGGGGCATTCTGTAAACGAGAAGTTCGCGACACATTCGACGCGCAGTTACAATTGTCGTTGAGCTGCTGAACCTCAGACCGAGCTGGTTCGAGGCTTGTTTTGTCAACCCACTTATTGTTGCCCTCGTTTCCGATTCCAGTCTGTACCAGGTGTGGAAAGGTGACGCTCAATAACGTTGTGTACCAGCTTACAATATCTAGGTGTACTTTGGTTGCCTCACTCATTATTGAAAGCATAAATCAGGATATTTGCAAACAATCCCAACGTCAGGGCAAATACCTTACCTTCCCTCGGCCTCCCCTCAACCATCACTAAATTCTTCAGTACCGTACCATTAAGGCCTTTTCATGGGCCAAATTCCTTATTGAAGTTAGTTATACAACGCAGAGCACTCATCCATCAAAGCTACCTATATCCTCCACTTTCCCCTATCGAACCCATCGAATTACTGAAACCCGACGCCCCTTCCCGTTCCGAAGCACGGCTCGCTCTCTGAAGCTCTTGGGAGAGGCTCGAGACCCGCATGTCCTCCAAATGCCTATCCACATTCTCTAAGACAGGGTCGGTTTCCGGACCAAAGCACTCTTCTTTCATAGCCATAAGCTCAGATACAATACGGGCCATGGTGGGGCGGGTGGTCACGGGCATGGTTGTGCAGGAAAGGGCGAAGCGGGCTAGGCGGAGGATGATGTGGTTGGGGCCGTCTAGACGTGGGTCTTTGATGGTGTCTGCATCCCCTGCATCTACCAGGGGTTTTACCTGGAAGGGTGGGTGGGATGGAGGATGGATGCAGGTGGGGGGATGGGAAGGATACAAGAGGTGTAAGAGGCATGAGAGGCACGAGAGGATGATGTGACCGGGGGCGTCTAGATGTGGATCCCTCATGGTGTTCGCATTTCCTTCATACAGTCATAATTGCACCTCAAAGAGTGGGGTGTAGCAGGAGAAGGTCGAAGGATGGAAGTGATACAAGAAGCACTAAAGTCACAAGAGGCATGAGGAGCATGAGGGGCATGAGAGGCATGAGAGGCATGAGAGGCATGAGAGGCATGAGAGGCATGAGGGGAATGAGAGGATGGATGCAGGTGGGGGGATGGGAAGGATACAAGAGGTGTAAGAGGCATGAGAGGCACGAGAGGATGATGTGACCGGGGGCGTCTAGATGTGGATCCCTCATGGTGTTCGCATTTCCTTCATACAGTCATAATTGCACCTCAAAGAGTGGGGTGTAGCAGGAGAAGGTCGAAGGATGGAAGTGATACAAGAAGCACTAAAGTCACAAGAGGCATGAGGAGCATGAGGGGCATGAGAGGCATGAGAGGCATGAGAGGCATGAGAGGCATGAGAGGCATGAGGGGAATGAGGGGCATGAGAGGCATGAGGGGAATGAGGGGCATGAGAGGCATGAGGGGCATGAGGGGCAAACTAAGCTTTCATCATTCAGTCCTCGTTTTTACCCTTTTGCTCATCACTCTTCCTCATCCTTCCCCAGCAGCGAGCTCACCCAATCCTTGAGAACTATGGGGTTGTTCTCCGACAAACCCTTGTGGGAGGTTGTGCCGCCCTCCAATTCGAAAAAGCTCTTGCGTGCAGTGATGACAGACAGCACCACTACTCCAAAGCTGCAGGGGGGTATGGGCACAGGCAAGAAATGAAAGGCACAGGCATGAAATAGAAGGAACGCACACAGAAATACAGCAATTAAGGCGCCTTGAAAGTGGGCAAAACGGGGGATAAGTGTAATTTCAGGCAGTGACGCCTGTAAGTGGGCAAAAATACTCAAACTTCGTGGGAAGTACGCTCACAGGCATGTGTGCAATGATGGGAAGCAATAACGGTGGTGAGCATCGTGCATGCCGGAACATGGGTGGTCGTAATCAGTTTTCAGTATTGTCGAGTTCATTGCGTTGCGTTTGGTTTTGTCATGGTGGGAACCTCGCTAGAAGGATTGGTTTTCAGCAGCAACTCAGTGTACAACTGCACGTCTGCTGCTGGTCTCCACTCACCTATGCACAAACTCGTGCCTTCTCTCACCCATGCACAGACCCGTGCCTTTTCTCACCTGTAAACGTCTGCTGCAGGAGTGGCCTTCTGTGTCCATGAGTATGCAGGGTCCACATAGCCCGGTGTTCCCCTAGGCTGCGTTGCATCACCAGTGGTGCCTTTGCTTATCCGCACCAACCCAAAGTCAGCAACCTTGGCCTGGAGAGAGAGAGAGAGAGAGAGAGAGAGAGAGAGAGAGAGAGAGAGAGAGAGAGAGAGAGAGAGAGAGAGAGAGAGAGAGGCGGAGAGAGTGAGGAGGCAGAGTGAGAGTAGGCAGGGAGAGAGGAGGCCGGGAGAGGGGAGCCAGGGAGGGAGGAGGCAGAGGGCTAGAGATGAAATGCACGGGATAAAGGGAAAGGAGAAGGCGATGAGGGGTAGCAGCTGGTTTGGGAAAAGAGACAGGGCTCAAAATAACAATCATGTTCTCCTGCACCTGCATGCATGTTTTTGCCGAACAGGATGTTGGCGGGCTTGATGTCACGATGCCTGATGTTGAAGCTGTGGAGGTACCGCAAGCCCTTGGGAAAGGGAGGTGCTCACAGAGAAAGGAGCACATTCAGAACAAGCGCTCACCTGCATGTTTCTGTCGAGAAGGATGTTGGCGGGCTTGATGTCACGATGCACGATGTTGAAGCTATGGAGATACTGAAGGCCCTGAGCCACCCCGATGAGCACATCAAAGCGCTGCCGCAGAGTCAGAGGCACTTTCACTCCTGGTGGTGGTGTGGTGGCAGGTTCAGAGAGATGAAACCAGAAGTGAGGGGCGTGGGAATGGATGCTGAAGCTATGGAGGTACTGCAAGCCATGAGCCATCCCGATGAGCACATCAAAGCGCTGCGGCAGGTTGAGAGGGACATCCACACCTGGTGGTGTGGTTGTTGCGTTGGGAGGTAAGAAAATCAAGCAAGGATTGCTAAAAAAAAAAAAAAAAAAAAAAAACGACAACAACAACAACACTTACAGCAAGGGTCAGAGAGTCACAGAACAAGGACGGTCGAGCAGCATTTCTCAGGGGATCATCATCGATTCGGGGTATCAACGCATCCCATTCAAGCACCCACCTGGTCCGACCCGACCCATCCCTCGAGGTCGCCGTTGTGCATGTACTCATAGATGAGAATCTGCTCTATGCCCCCAGCCATTCCCCCAGCCATCACAGGTGACTTTTGAGTCGACCCACACCAGAGCCTACCTGGTCCCACCCATCCCTCGAGGTCGCCGTTGTGCATGTACTCATAAATAAGAATCTGCTCTATGCCTCCAGTCGCCGCGTCCATGTGGCTGCAGTAGCCTAAGAGGCGCACGAGGTTGACGTGATTCTTTGATGCCATCTCCTCCACCTGGCGTGGAGATAGGGGGGAAGGGGGAAGGGAGAGGGACCGGTCATGGGGCGACATTTCCTTGAACACGCCCCTGAACCCGCGGCTGCCAGATCTTCGATAACATGCACACTAACTAGGTGGTACACCCCATCACATCACACCTCACCACACCGCACCGCTCTACACGGCACCACACCGCACCGCACCACGCACCTCTCGACGAAAGTCGTCAGTGGTGAATACAGTGGCGCGCTTCACAGCCCACAGCACCGTTGGGTCATGGGGCGACACTCCCTTGTACACCACCCCGCACCCGCCGCTGCCAATGTTGTTCGCTTCAGCCCAGTTGTTAGTTGCCCATAGGACGTCAGCCAAGGGGTAGCATTGGCACTGTGCGGGACCACGTATCCCCGATCCTGCTGCTGCTGCTCCTGCTGGTGCTGGTGCTACTGCTGCTGGTGCCACTGGTGCTTTTGCTGATTCTGGGGGAATGGTGCACAAGTGACAAGAACAGGTGTAGCGACGGCGGTTTGGAGGGATAGGAACAGATGAGGAGGGGTCACAAGGCAAGTTAGCATGTTGCCGATGCAAATTGGAATAAGCCCCCGCAAATCCATTAACCCCCTCGCAGGCCTTCAGTTACCTTCATCTTTTCCTCCTCCATTTGTTGCTGCCTTGGCCCTGCGCCTTCTCTGATACCAGAACAGCGCTAGTAGCACCACCCCCAGCAGCAGCAGCGCTGCTCCCAGCATTTGCAACACGCCTTCACTCACCTTCATCTGCTGCGGCCTTGGCCCTGCGCCTTCTCTGGTACCAGAACACTGCTAGTAGCACCACCCCCAGCAGCAGCAGCACCGCTCCCACCACCACCCCCACTACCACCCCTGTGGATACAGAGGATTTTCCTCCTGAGCCGCCTGGTGGGGAAGGGAAGGAGATGGGAGGTGGAAGGCGGAGGTCAGGGAGAAGCCATCCAAATCATCTGAATAATCTGATGTGAATTACCAGAGCTATCCTAATTATCCGGCGGCATCTCAATCATCGGAATTGCCCTCACCAGAGCATATTTCTAGTCTGACTCATCTGAACCATTCTCCTCACCAGAGCACGGCCCGTTCTGGCATCCCGCACCGCAGAAGGAGTCGTTGCTTCCACACCAGCCCCACTGGCTGCGAACGAAGGAGAGTGAGAACCGAGACAGGAGAAAGAGGAGAAAGAGAGTGAGAAACGAGACAGGAGAAAGAGGAGAAGGAGAGTGAGAAACGAGACAGGAGAAAGAGGAGAAGGAGAGTGAGAAACGAGACAGCAGAAAGAGGATGAGGAATGCGCCAGGGAAAAGAGGGTTACTTACTACAGCGGGGAAGGGGGAGGTGAAAGAAAAGAAGGGGAAGGGACGAGGCCACGGAATTGGTAGGTAGATGAAAAGGAGTGTGAGCTCTGAAAGGTCCGACGGACCGAAAGGGTGTGTTCTGATGGCATGGCACGACAGGCAGGAAAGAGGCAGGGAGAGGAGCGACGGCGAGCGGACAAGCAGCATAGGCTCGGGTTGTGAAACTTCTCAGAATTTGAACTGACCTGCAGCATAGGCTCGGCGGGTTACAGGGCGATGAGGTGGAGCAGAACTGTTGAGTTGTCGTTGCTGGCATAAAAGAGAGAAAGACGATGGCGACGGACAGGCAAAGTGAGTGACTGAATGCGTTTGCATAGTGTGGGTTACAATGCGAGGAGCGAGTGCAGAACTGTTGAGTTGTCGTTGCTGGAATCAACGGGAGAGACGATGGTGACGGACAGTAAGGTGGCGCCATGAGTGTATGCATGGCTGTATGCATAGTGTGTGCATGCGCGAATGCATTAGTGTGTGTGCATGGATCCATGGAGAAATAAGAGGGAATGTATGCATTCAAATCTTCGGTTTTTCATCGAATCATAAACCTATCCGGTTTATCCGAGGCATCTATAATCAGCACAATCGTCCTCACCAAAGCCGCACGGCCCGTTCTGACATTCCCCACCGCAGTAGGCCTCAGTGCTTCCGCAATAGCCATCCTTGCTGCGGGCAAAAGCGGGAGGATCGAGGTAAGGGAAAGAGGGTCAAGGACAGAGCGGGAGAAAGAGAGTTAAAACAAAACAGGCGAAGGGATGAGAGGTTGAAGAGACAAGGGGCAGTCGAGGTGTTTCGAGGGCGAGAGGACAGGACTGCCGTGAAAGCAAACCTGAGCTGGAAAGATAGGTGGATTGGTTGTAGAAAATGAATGAGTGTTCCGAAAGACGTCGACTTCTGTAGAATTTCGGAACGACAAATGGTAGATGAAAGCATGAGTGTGCTCCGAAAGCACCTTGAATGGACTGTAACCAACCTTTGAAGGTTGTGCTCTGAACGCATAGAACAAGGGGAAAGGGGAGAGGAGCGCCCTGTGAGACGTCTCAAACTAACCTGCAGCATAGGCTCGGCGGGTCACACAGCGTGGAGTTCGAGCAACGCTGTTGAGCGCGCGCTAACGGTACCAGGATCAATGCGATGGCAATGGAGAGTGGTACGGCGCGAAGCGCGCTTGTATGAAGGTGTCGTTGCTGAGCCATAGAAGCTAGCTAAGGTATAGTATCAGCTTCTATCGTCGCAGAACAAGCGACAATAAGACCCCTGAGGAAAATTATTTGTGCTGCCTTGTGCCTGTTGAATCTGGCTGAAGAAACTACCATTATTGTAGTCGGGAACAAAGCGGAGCCCGCTGATAATAGCGTTGCTAGCAAATAATTGCGATCGAGAAGGGTGGGAACACGAGTTCCGTTTTCGGCGAAGAATCGAAACCCAAGGTGGTAACTCGGTATGTCGTCGAAACCCGATCTGCCCATGGCGACGCGCGTCAAAACCACAAATTCAATTTCTCTACGCCCTCGTAACACAATCTTAGACGATCGTGTTTGGGGATAGATAGTCCTAGGAGACTACTATGACCCTTGCTCCGCACCAGGCCTGTCGAAGTTCCTGGGGCCAACACTTTGAGTCCTGAGCTGCTCGAAGTTTGGCCCTGATTTTCGCGAAGGTGACCGTTTTTTAGCCCTTAACGATCACGGGTGCAGGTCCAAACCAAAACTTGAAATCCGGGCTTCTTTAAAAAATGTACGTGTGCCCTAATTTCACAAAGGGGGATGTCAGCGGGAAGGAGCTTGCTAACGACTTAGGGGGTGGTACATGTGCGCAAGAACTACGCTGGGCCGTGCTGGGCCGCTGCGGCCCAGGGGCATTTGCGCGGACCAGCATGGACCAGCGAACGGCCCAGGTGTGGACCCGACTTGCACCCGCCCACGGACCAGCATGTACAGTGCGAGGCGCACGTACGAAAACGACGCTCGACACGCAGGACCATTTCCAGAGCGACCCAAGGCGATGGGAATCGCATGCGAAAACTGCGTTTTGATTGTTTCGCCAAAAGTATCTGCTGTGTGCGACATCTTGTTCAAGCGTGACCAGGTACACTTTTGAATTTCGTCAACAATTCGTTTTCGAAGCTGCAATGCACTGTGCATAGCTGGTCCGCCGCAAATGGTCCCCGGTACCACGCGGGACCACTTATGGAATTGTTCCCTTTAAAATGGTGCTCCCTTGCATTCGCTGGTCCATTTCCTAGTAAATGGACCAGCGCGCAATGTAACACCCCCTTATCTGTGAACCTACAGCAGGGGGGGAAGAGGGGTGGGGGAGGGGGGGGGGGGGGGGGGCTCGTAGGGCAAATATCGTCAGCAAAGAAGTCGTTTGAACTCTTGTGTACAATCGCAAAGCACTTCCAAGGAAGTTCGTTCTCATGTAGTATTCCTAGTGTGAACCGATGGGGCTGAATCCCACCTCGCCATGTAAGGGTGTCAGTGTCTTGATTCCAGCGTGAGTACTTAGAATTGTGAGGAGTGAACAATGTCTTAGAAATATTTTGCAACCACAGCCATAAACATCAACCCTAGAACCTCCTTTCATACCAAGAAGATAGAATGTGGGAGCGACAGGGATAAGGGTACGGGAGGAGAAGAGTGTCAACTAGGAAACTCGCAGGGTTACTTGTACTACTCATCCGGGATCTCAGGGAAGGGCCCCAAACCAGCCCTTAACGGATCCGGGTTGATACCCCAATTTCTCAAAATCAGCCCGTAAGAAAAACGGGCTCCCCTCGAAACCAGCCCTTTGAAATGCCGAAGCTGGCCTGGAGTTCACCCGGAATGTTCAGGGCATTAAGGGCAAATGCCCTTGAATGGACAGCCGTGCGGAGTCCGCACGCGAGCCTATTTGTCGGACTACTAGGCACATGCGGACTCGGAGAAACTGCGTTTGACCGTGAGAACCCAAATGGTACAGCAGACACCCAGTTTAGGGCGTGTTACATTTTTCGAAGTCACTGAACGTCCGGACAGATGTCCGGACGCGTGCGAAGATTGCGACGTCGCTTGGTCGCTTTGCGACCAACGCGATGTCGTAAGGACGCAATACGAAGAATGCGACGTCGTTTAGTCCATGACGAACTTACTGCCGAGATTTAACGAGTTTCGTAACCACACAATCGTCCGGACGGTGAAAAATGTAACACGCCCTTAGCTCGATTTCGCAGTGCAGCAACCGTACACCGGAATCTACAAAATCTAAAAAATTTATTCATATTTCTAGTAACACCTACCGGTAAATCCACGCTACATCCGTTTAATTCCCTTATGAAGTTATCCCTAAGGATAGCACCTGAGTGCGCAGCACAAGTTAAAACCGTGGTGCAACTTCTTAGGAACAGTAGCAGGACAATAACTGCATGTGCGTAACTGGACTTGTGTTAGTAAAAAAAACTAGAGTTTTACATCAAGACAAACCTCTCGCCTCTGAACTGCCTGGGTCAGCCTCTTCCAAGCTATAATACATTGGAGCTGAAGTTGATAGCTGCAGCGCGGCTTCAACCAAGAGGAGCGCAACCCCTCCCCCCTCCCCTCGGAAAAACGTGCCAAAACGCAAGCACAAAAAGGGTTTTCCCACCAGCCCCAGTTTGAGAGAGCAATGCAACACCCATCATTTTCTAAGGCTCCCAATTGTTTACAGGGGATCAAGCGTTTTTTGCTTCTGATTTACGTAACTATACAACAGAGAGGGAGGCAGGCAGGGTATACAAAGGCTTAGGAAGTTAGAACGATATGTGCCGTACCACTAGACTCTGATCCGCTGTGTTGCTCCTGTCACGACCCCCATGTTTTAAGGGTCCACAACACCTGCTAGGGAAGGTCATGGAGTGGGAGCACAATGGGGGAAAGAGTTGGGAGTGGAGTTAACGCAACGGGGTAGAGCATAGAAAATGAAGGTTGAGTAAGGTAAAGCACAGTAGAGCACGGTAAAGCACGATAGGTCAAGGTAGAGCAAGGCTGGATGAATTGGTATGCTATTTTCCTCGCAACCTTCTTGATCGCATAATCCACCAGCACTTGCATCTCACTGCCAAACTCCCCCAACCACCTCCCCACGGCCCTCCACTGCATCTCACCACTCCCCACCGCAACTCACCGCCCCCACCGCATACCATCACTCCCCACTGCATCTCACCGTCCTTGGGATCATCAGTCAGGTCGTTAAACGTCTCAACCATCCGCCTCGCGAGCTTCTTTAAAGCATAGTCCACCAGAACTTGCATTTCACTGTCAAACTCAACCCTCTCCCCCACCGCCACACCCACCGAAGCAGCAACCTCCCTCATCTCGGCTTCCCACGCCAACCCTTTGGCCCAGAGAGATTCAAAATCCTCTTGAATGTACACGCTGTATGCAGCCTTAAGAGGGTCAAAGAAGTGGGGGTGTGGCTCATTGGTTGCGATGTAAAGAGTGCTGTTTGGAGGGACGAGCGATGGGAGCTTCTGTAGGAGGCTGGGCAGGACAGGGGACGCAGGTGGAAGAGGAGAGAGACAGCTATTTGGAGGAGTGGGGGTGTGGCTCATTGGTTGCGATATAGAGAGCGCTGTTCGGAGGGACGAGCGATGAGAGCTTCTGTAGGAGGATGGGCGAGAAGGGTAAGGCAGAAGAGACGACTTTTGAGTTGAATCAGAAGGGTACCAACACATGGTATATGTGGCTTTGAGGGGGTGGAAGAAGCTGGAGGGTGGCCAGTGGGTTGCGATTTAGAGAGCGCTGTTTGGCGGGACGAGCGATGGGAGCTTCTGTAGGAGGATGGGGTGAGAAAGGTGGGGTAGAACAAGCAAGGGGCACAGGGAGGCCAAGAGGGGTGGGAGAGAACAGGAGAGTGTGTGAGGGTGGAAGAAGTGGGGGGTCTGGCTCATTGGTTGCGATGTAGAGAGTGCTGTTTGGAGGGACGAGCGATGGGATCTTCTGCAGGAGACTGGGGTGAGAGGGAGGGGGAGGAGAGATGGGCAGCACCAAAGAGCTGTGAGTCAACTCTGGACTTCTCCCTCTTCACGGTGTATGCGGTTTCAAGCTAATCGAAAAAACGGGGGTGTGGTTCGTTGGTTGCGATGTAGAGAGTGGTGTTTGGCGGGACGAGCGACGGGAGCTTCTGCAGGAGACTGGGGTGAGAGGGATGGCACGGGCACGGTGGGCTGTCACTTCAGAAAGTTGTCACAAGCAGCGTACACTTCAGGCCGAGTGTGACGATTTTTCAGTCGACTCGAAAATCGTCTCATTTCAAGCAGCTCACACTTCAAACCGTGTGCCATGGTCCAACAGAGGTCAGTGCGTGGCATGACGCGGCCGGGTGTCGCCGTCCCCATGGCCGCACGTGAACGTAGTCAAAGAGGTGCTCATGCAGGTGATTTTGAGATAGATGTGATTTTGAGAATGCTCAAGAGTTGCTCTTGACAGGCCAGGCTCAACAGGGCTTCATTCAACAACAGGGCACTCACGCTTTGGGCCGGGTGCCTCGATCCAAGTGCGGCCAGCGCCTAGCGTCCAGCTTGTCCCCCCGCCGCACGTGTATGTAGTCAAAGCAGTGTAGGCCGCCCATGGCATCAGCCATGGCGTGTGCGAGGCGGGTGAATGCATCGTTGGGGAAGAGAAACCCAGGGTCGAATGTGATGTTGTCCTGGTTCTGGGGATGGGGATGGGGGTATGGGTGGACACGTTGCACAAGAATACAGGGGAGGGATTGGCACTGAGGCGGGTGAATGCGTCGTGGGGAAGAGGACCTCCGAATTCGTCCTAATTCAGGGATGGAGATAGGGGCATGAGTGGCACACATGATGACAGGGGAGGGTATGTGTGGGATTGGCATTGAGGGAAGAGGAAGCCAGGGTCGAATGTGATGTTGTCCTGGTTCTGGGGATGGGGATGGGGATGGGGATGGGGACAGGGGTACGGATGGATGCAGGTGCATGCATGCATGTGTGAGCATGAGGCAGTAACTGTGAGGTGGGTGAATGCGCCGTGGAAGAGGGACTCGGGTTGAAGGTGATGTTGTCCTGGTTCTGGGGATGGGGATGGGGATGGGGATGGAGACATGTGCACGGATAGCACACAGATGCGGGAAAGTATGGGCACATTAGGGTGCAAAACTTTTATCAAAGTGCATGGAGACCTGTGCATGGGCGCTCAGGCGCATGCAAGCATGTGAGAGTATGTCTTGCCCCGTTAGTCCTAGCATGATGAGGATGGTTAAGGATTTGCACGGAGGGGGCAACGTGCATGCGACGTGAAATGAGGGTGTTTTTGAGATGTCTCGTTTCAAGATGGTTGAGGATTTGCACGGAGGAGACAACGTGCATGCATGTATGAGAGCATGTGGGAGTGAAGTGAAGAACCCGTACTGCCCCTCGTCCGGTGCACGCACCACCAAAAACACGTTCCTCCAAACGGCCACCTCCCCCGAGTGTGGGCCGATGGGGAACTTGCGATCATACACATGACGCCCTCCCACGCACCTGCTTGTGCTCCTTATCGCACGGCATGAACCCATAATGGCCCTCCTCTGGTGCACACACCACCAGAAACACGTTCCTCCAAACGGCCAGCTCGCCCGTGCGCGGGCCGATGGGGAACTTGCGCATAGTTATGACGTCCCACTCCCATGACCCGAAGCGAGCCTGAAAATGCTCCAAGAAAATTATTGGCTGGCGGCTGGGGGGAGAGAGAGTAGGGGGAGGGAGAGGAGCAAGCAGTGAGGCGAAAGGGGAACTTGCGCATGGGTATGACGCCCCACTCCCAGGAGCCAAAGCGAGCTTGAAAATGCTCCACAAAGACTATAGGCTGGCGGCTGGGGGGAGGGAGGGTAGGGGGAGGGAGAGGAGCAAGCAGTGAGGCGAAAGGGGAACTTGCGCATGGGTATGACGTCCCACTCCCACGAGCCAAAGCGAGCCTAAAAATGCTCTAAGAAAATTATCGGTTGCCGGCTGGGACGGGGGAAATGGAAAAGGGGAAAAGGCATGGGCTGGGCATGACGCCCCATTCCCACGAGGTGAAGCAAGCCAAGAAATGCTCTATCAGGACTTATTGGCTGCTGGCTGAGGGGGAAGGAAGAGGGTGGGGGAGAAACGGGGGTGGGGGGAAAGGGGGAACTTGCGCATGGGCATGACGTCCCACTCCCAGGAGCCGAATCGAGCCAAGAAATTCTCCATGAGGAGCCTTGGTTGCTGGCTGGGGGGGAGCCGAAAGGGGAGAAGAGGAGGCAGTGAGGGGAAAGAAGGGGGAACTTGCACATGGGCATGACGTCCCACCACGAGCGGCTTACTGCTCCCACGAGGTGAAGCAAGCCAAGAAATGCTTCATAAGGACACTGCATGAGTACGACATGACACCCCACACCGCATCCCACCCCACCCCACCTCACTGCACAGCACCGCATCATGGTGGTGAAATTGTAACACAGCCCCACGTGCCCATGCTCGTCCTTCCTGCAATACCCACAGCACACGCCCTCTCGGCCACACAGTACCCCACCGCACCCCACCGCACCCAACCCCACCCCACTGCTGGTGAGGTTATAGAACAGCCATACGTGCCCATGCTCATCCCCCCCCCCCGCTCCTGAGTGCGCTTGATGAAAGCAATGGCGTGTGTTTCAGCACCTAACACACCACATCGCAGCACACCGCAGCACAGCACACCACACCACACCACAGCACACCATACCGCACTGCACCGCACAACACCATTCCCTCTCCTCCCCCCCCCCCAACCTCATCACAGTTGTGAGGTTGTGATACAGACCCACGTGTCCATGCTCGTCCCTCCCAGCATTTCCCATAACCCGCACCCTCCCAGCCACACAGTACCACAAACCACCACACTGCACCCCATCATAGTCATGAGATTATAGTACAGCCCCGCGTGCCTATGCTCGTCCCGCCCCGTCTGCGTGTGCACCTGGTGCAAGCAACGGTCATTTACCATCATCAGCGTGCCTTTCAGCGCCTAACACACCACACCACACCGCGCTGCACCGCACCCCACCCCACCGCACCGCATCATGGTGGTGAGGTTGTGATACAGTCCCACGTGCCCATGCTTGTCCCGCCCCGTCCGCGAGTGCGCCAGGTGCAAGCAACGGTCAGTCACTAACACCAGGATGCCTTCCAGCACCCTTTGAGGCGCCTAACACACCACACCACACCACACCGCACTGCACTGCACCAAACCACGCCCCACTGCAGTGCACACCCCGTTTCCCTCTCCCTTCTCCGCACCTCATCATAGTTGTGAGATTGTCATACAGCCCCATGTGTCCATGCTCGCCCCTGTTGGTATTACCCAGCAGCACAGGCCTTCTCATCCACACAGTACCACACCCAACCCCACCGCACCGCACCTCATCATGGTGAAGACGTTGTAGTACAGCCCTACGTGTCCACGAGTGCACCTGGTGCAAGCAACGGTGAGTCACCAACACCAGCGCGCGCCGAAGCGCCTTTGCCTCTGCCGCGGCGAAGCGCTGAGACCAGGACCAGTGCGACTGCCCCACGCAATGGTCGGTCGCGGAGAAGAGCAGGTAGTAGCGCTCCCCGCGCGCAACGGCACGCATTACATCGTCGCGATACACGCGCTGATGCCGCTCCCACACCTCTTTGTCCGATTTCCGGATTTCCTGTTTCCGGATTTCTGATTTCCAGTTTCCGGATTTCCAGATTTCTGATTTCCGGTTTCTGGATTTTCAATTTCCGGAATTCCGATTTTCCACGACGTTTTCGGATTTTTCCTCTCCGCCTGCCGTTTTCGCCCTCCGCGCCTCCGGCAGCTGCGCCGGGCTGCGCGCGGCGTGGCGAAGCGGTGCGCTAGGCTGTGCGCACCTCTGGCGGCTGCGCCTCCGAGAAGTCCCACCGCGATGCACGCCGCGACGGCCGCGAGGAAAAGAAGAGCGCGGCGAAGCGGTGCGTCGCGAATGTTAGGAGTGAGCGGTATGGGGACGGAGCCGATTTCGCCGCGAGCGAGGATTCGCTAGTATTAATTCCGGTAGTGGAACCCGCGGAGGGTCGCGCGGATGGGGAAAGAGCGGCATGCGGGCGGAGCACAGCTGCGTCGCACGATCCCATGCGATATAGTCGCCACCGTCGCCCACCGCCGTTGCCGTCACCAAGTGCGGCGATGATTCCCATAACACTGGGTGATTCAAACAACTCTTTTTTAAAAGAAAAAATAGTGTATTACTTGATGTTATATTCAAGACACTTTCACTACTTAGTGCTATAGAAGTCAAAATAAGGACCTCCAGCACCTCCAGATCTAGCACCTCCAGCACCAGTAGTTCCAGTACCTCTAGCACCTCCAGCTCTAGCACCTCCAGCACCTTCAGCACCAGCAGCTCCAGCACCTCCAGTACCTCCAGCTCCAGTACCTCCAGCACCAGCAGCTCCAGTACCTCTAGCACCTCCAGCTCTAGCACCTCCAGAACCAGCAGCCCCAGCACCTCCGGTACCTCCAGCTCTAGTACCTCCAGCACCAGCAGCTCCAGTGCCTCCAGCACCTCCAGCTCTAGCACCTCCAGCACCTGCACCTCCAGCACCGCAGCTCTAGTGCCTCCAGCACCTGTAGCTCTAGCACCGCCAGCACCAGTAGCACCTGCACTTCCAGCACCAGCAATACCTCCAGCACCAGTAGCTCCAGCACCTCCAGCACCAGCAGCTCCAGCACCTCCAGCACCTCCAGCACCAGTAGTACCTCCAGCACCTCCAGCACCAGAAGTACCTCTAGCACCAGCAGCTCCAGGACCAGCAGCGGTCGCGCCGAACGATCCACTCACGAAGCTGCTACGGCGAGAGCATCTCGAGTCGACTAAGCGGCTGCTGTTGTCCAACGCTCCAGGAGGAAAACCCACGGTCCTACCACCACTAGGACTCACAGCACCCCCAGAGTCAGCACCAGCACCCCCAGAACCCTCACCCCCAGTCTCAGCACCCCCAGGACCAGCGCCTCCAAAGTTTTCACCCCAAGTGTCACCACCCCCAGCAGCACCAGAGTCCACAGCTACAGGCTGCGGAGGAGGCGAAGACGGTCGAGGCGGAAAATCAGGAGGGGTCTCCAAGCGTGGAGAGCGGCGAGTGGCCGTCGTGTTGTCAGCAGCGGGGTCACCCCCCTCATTTGGGCCAGAGGTGTCAGAGAAGACCTCCAAAGGCTAAACCAAGGGGGGTGGGTCCACCTAAGATACACCTGAGGGAGTAGGACCCCGTGGGGGGAGGGGGTCTACCTGGGGGGGGAACTGGAACCAGGAAGAGGGGCGGCGGGGGGACTGGGTGGGACGCGTGTGGGTGGAGACGGTAGAAGCAGACCAACTCGTCAAAGGTGACGTCCTGGGAGGACAGGACTCGACGCGAGGCAGGGTGGTAAAACTACCAAGGCTAGGCGTCGGTGGGGAAGCCAAGGAAGACGCAGCGGAGAGTGCGAGGAAAGAGCTTGCTCGCGGTGGTATCGCGGACAAGGGAGAGCGTACCCCAGACCCGACACGCCGACGCATCGCCAACCTACCCCGTCCAACGTTGTGTGGGCGAGGTCTCTGGTACAGAGACACGGGGCCAGAAGTTGAACTGATGCGCAGCGTATCGGACCGCAAACAACCACAGAAAATGGGGAGCAGTCGCATGGATCATGGAGGTACGAACAACCTCCATGATGAAGCCAATGCGATGCTCAGCAATCCCCTTCTGCTGCGGAGAGGCCGGAAGCATGAACGACTGGGCGATGCCCTCGTCTCGACATAACTCCTCAAGAAGGTCGGAAGAGATCACCGCCGTTGTCAGAGTGCAGACGCAGGACTGGAAGGTCCCGCCGAAACCGCTCGTGCAGCTGGCGATGAGTAGCGCGGATCCAGGAGATCAAAATACCGCGGACGTCCGCCTTGCTCCGCAAGGGGAAGACCGTGGTGTAGCGTGTGTAACCGTTAACAACCAGCAGAAAGTAGCGCTCCTGGTCCGTCCCATGGACGGGGGCCGAGCCCCACACGTCCATGTGGAGAGTCTTCAGAGGAGCAGTGGTCGGAGGAAACGAGGAGGAGTGCGGAGCGGCACACTGCCGCCCCTCGACGCAGGGAAGGCACGGTGGGGCAAGCGAGCGCGGGAGGGGGGGAAGGGACCTAGGAAGGTCAGAGACAAGGAGACGGGAGTGCATACTACGTAGACGCGGCAGAGAGGGGTGACTGAGTCGGTGGTGCCAGAGGAGAGTCTGGTGGGAGAGTAGCCGACACGAGCACGACGCAGCTAACTGACCAGACGCAGACACCTGACTCGACGCAGTCACCGGACCTGACGCAGCCACTTGTGCAGACGCAGTGGTTAGGGTGTACAGACTGGACCCAGGCTGTCGAGTGAACGTGGCGAGGTGCTCACCAGTGCGAGAGTCTGTACAGATCACCACTCGCTCACCCCCAGGAGCTCGCTTACCCCCAGGAGTACTCACAGTGACAGATAGGTCCTGGGGGACAGCGTTACTCACCAAGTTCGTAGTGAACGAGGGGGGAGGTGGAGACCTGCAAGTGAGCCGGAAGGGGCTGCCAGACACTTGAGAACGGTGGAGCCACGGGCTACGACTGGGATCCCAGAGGGGTCAGCCAGACTGACCGGGACAGGTGCAGTGAGCGGTGTGACTGTGGTGCAGTCACGGAAGAAGCAGCGAGTCTCGCCTGAGTCAAGCGTGAAGGTGTGTAAAGCCTCCACAAGAGGTGCACCTGTGCTACCAGGCTCGTAGGCACCTAGGCTAGCAACCTCTGCACTACTAGGGATGCGCCGCTGAGAATACCACTCGCGAAGCTGCTGCACTAAGAGGGTCTCCTCATGACTCTGCTGTTGCTGCTGTCCAGTACCTCCAGTATCAGTACCCCAAACCAAGCGGCCTGGCTGAATAACCCACCCACGAAGTTGCTGCGGCGAGAGCCTCTTGAGTCGACGGGACTGCCGCTGCTGTCCAGTACCGCCAGCACCTATGAAATCCCAAGCTCCAGCACCAGAGCGGCCTTGCCGAATAACCCAATCGCGAAGCTGCTGCGGCGATAGAGTCTTTGGCTGACGCTGCTGCTGCTGTCCACCCCCAGACGCTGCTACGACCGTGATAGTAGCCATGGCAGGCAGTGGCAGTCAGTAGCAGCGGCACAAGGGCGGCAGTGGCGAGTGCTGTAGTTGTGGCGGTAGTTGCTGTAGTGGCAGGTCAGCTAGGCAGGGCGGGTCAGCCGGGCCACTCAGCGCGGTTCGGGCAGGGCTGCATGACTCGGGCAGGGGCGGGGCACAGCACCGAGCAGGGCGCGCAGTGCACGGGTAGGGCAGCGGCCAGGGCAGCGCGCGGGCAGGGCGCGCAGTGCGCATGGGCGGCGCCAGCAGCGGACACGCAGCCCGCGGGCTGCAGGACAGGGCAGTGGGCTGGCTGCAGGGCAGCGCAGGTAGGGCAGCGCGCGGGCTGCTGGGCGTGCGGGCAGTAGGGCGACGCGAGCAGCAAGGCGCGTGGGCTGCAGGGCGACGCGGGCAGTAGGGCGACACAGGCAACAGGGCGTGCGAGCTGCAGGACGACGTGGGCTGCAGGGCGTGCGAGCTGCAGGGCTCTGAGGCCCTGCGCAGCACACCCATTTAGATGAATCCTTCCAGATAATCCATGCCTCTAGTTGACCTTCGGTTTGATCTTCCTCTTGCGCAGCAGCACACAGAGCAGCAGCAGCAACAGCACGGACAGGCAGCAGAGCAGCGGCAGCAGCCCTCCTCGCCCCACCTGCAGGCGCCGCTGCTTGGTGCAGCGAGCCGGGTGCAGCAGCGCCACCACCTCCCGCACCTCCCCCTCCCACCTGCGTGTGTGGGGTGGGGTGGCATGGGGTTTGGTGTGGCAGAGTGTGGTGGGGTTACAGGAGAGAAAAAGGGTAACGATGATCCAGGCCCAGGGCAAGGAGGTGGGAACGGGCAAGGGGAGCAGGAGCAGCAGCACACACATAACACACCGCACACGCCAAGCCCCTCGCCTCTCATCACAGCCCCATCACCCTACCACCATACCTTGCAGCAGCGGTCTCAATGCCTGGCAGCAGGTGCAGCGCGCCCCCATAGTCCATGGCCTCCACTGCTGCCGCCACTCGCCGCCACCCCTCCACCACCGCATTGTACTGCCCCGCTAGCTGCCGCTCCCACCGCTTGAACACCGCATATGTGTCCTCGTCTGATTGGATGGGAGGGAGGGCATGGGGAGAGGGGTATGGACCGTATAAGACAGTAGCCATGAGTGTAGTGGAGGTGAGAATGAAGGAGCGCGGATGAGAAACGGGTGACACCATGCAAGAACAAGGACGGGAAATGACGGTGCCTCCGAAGGCAGCAGGAGTGCGGGGAGAGCAACAGCATCCTGGCAGCACACCACTCAGCACACCTAACGAGCCACACCATACAAACCACACACATGGCAAGAGTGGAGGCGGAGCTCTCACGGGTGGTCTCAGCAGTGAGGTGTGCAACGGCACGGTTGACAGTGGCCACGGCCTCGTCCAGCGCCGTCACAACCAACGACCGCGCCATGGCATCCCGCTGCACCTCCGAGATGTGAGCGCTGCTCGCCCCTCCCCCGCCCAGCAGGCCCCCGCCTATGGCTGCCAAGGGATGGCCCCCTGCCGCCCACCGCCAGTCCTGCATGGGTGCAGTGCGGTTGAGAGGTGGTGGATTGTGGTAGGGTGAGCTTAGGAGGTCAAGGTAGACATGATGAGCTCCTCTGAACTGTGCCAACCTGAGAGAACCACCACATGCAAGCCAGCACAGGAATCATGAAAGCCAGCACAGGAATCATGAAAGTCAGCACAGGAATCATGAAAGCCAGCACAGGAATCATGAAAGTCAGCACAGGAATCATGCAAGCCAGCACAACATCACATGCGAGGCAGTAGGGTAATGACCTGAACGACAGCGGAGTGGGCGGCGGAGAAGGATATGTGAGCTGGCAGCAGCCCCGCCAGGTGCTCCATTGTGGCCGCTAGCACTGCCGCCAGTGGGTCACTGGGAAGGGGAAGGAGTGGGGAGGAGTGAGAAGTGTTGGCATGTCGTCATGGTGCGCACAGGCCGGCCAGCTCGCAGCTGAGTGCAGCACAGAAGCACAGAGACGGACACAAGACGACCCCAAAGCCATGGTGATACTGAGCAGGGGTAACCACGCCCACCGCAGGTCAGCATGCATCTCACACCCACCGCAGGTCGACGTGCATCTCTTTGCCGTTGCAGGCGACGCCGGTGGGCCAGTGGCGGTGCGGCAGCTGTACTGAGAGCACCATGTCGGGCAGTGACTTGGCGAGCAGCGATTGGTCGATGAGGATGGGGTCTGACGCGATGGCGAAGAAGAACACCGGCACGTCCAGCTGGGCGCGCTCCCCCCGCGTGCGCTTCACTGGGAGACGAGGAGGGGGAGGGAAGAGGGACACAGAGGTTGGACGAGTAGAGAGGAGGGATAGGAGGGTGAAGAGGCAGGGGAGGCTTGCAATGGGGTGGCACAGAGAGTCACAGCAGCCAACACGCCCTCTCATCCATGCACCTCTCATTTTTCATCCCTGCCATCTCACATCGCTGCAGGCTGCCATCTCACATCGCTGCAGGCTGCCATCTCACATCGCTGCAGGCTGCCATCTCACATCGCTGCAGGCTGTCGTCCCCCAGTGACCGCAGCTGGTGCTGCAGCACGTGCGAGTCCAGGTACAGCTGCACGCGCCCCCCCGCTGACACGTTGCCAGCCGCGGACGCGGTGGGCAGCACGGCGGCGCGCAGCGAGGCGGAGAAGGCCGTTGCCAGGGCCGCGTCTTCTGCCACTGACAGCCTGGCGGGCATGCAGAGGGGGGGGGGCGGGGGGATGTGGTAGGGAGAGGAAGGGGCGACGAATTGGCAGCGGGCAGCACGGCGGCACGCAGCGAGGCGGAGAAGGCCGTTGCCAGGGCCGCGTCTTCTGCCACTGACAGCCTGGCGTGGGACAGGGGGACTAGGGGAGGTGGGGGGCGCGGGGATGGTGAGGAAAGGTAGGGGCGAGTAAGGAAGGGGTGAAGTGGATGGTAGCGGAGAAGGCCGTTGCCAGCGCCGCGTCCTCCGCCACTGACAGCCTGGCGGACATGCAGAGGGACGGGGGGTGGAAGGTGGGGGAAGGATAGGGTGATCAAGGGGAGGTTGGGGCGAGTGGGAAAGGTGGGTGGTGGCAGTGGGAGGCACGCATGGTGCGGTGAGATGTGAGCGGCATGTCAGAAGGCCCAGACAAAGGAACCCAGGAGGTAATGCGAGTGGAAATCAGCAGCAGCGTTGCTTTCACGCTCTGCCCCACGCGCACGCACCTGTAGGTGGAGTAGAGAACTGGAAGCGCACGCACCGGTAGGTGGAGAACTGGAAGCGCTGGCCCGGCAGGCAGAGCTTCTGCACCTCGGTCTTGAAGTCCTCCACGTACTGTGGCGTGTGGCGCCTCTCGTAGTACGCCTGGTGGGGGAAGGAGGGGAGGTGTGGAGCGAGAGGGAGCGCCAGGGTGGGCATGAGGTTGAGGTCGTGATGTGCGCCCATGCAGGCTTGCCATCGTGCTCAATCCATGTCATAACATGGCCCTTTGCACACAAGTCCACACCACATCATGTCACGCCTTGCCACGCCATGCCACGTCACCCCAAGCGCCCCACCTGGTGGGAGATGATGTAGAGGTGGAAGGACACGCGCTCGTAGAAGTGGTACGCGCCAGCAGCTGTGGACGGCGTGATGACGTGGCGCATGGCGGACGCCAGCGTGGACGCCAGCTCAGCCATGAGCATGTCCCACGCACGCGTCACTGCAGGGCTGCTCTCCCCCGCCTCGCCCTTGCCCGCATGCCTGTCGGGCGGCACGCTTTGGAACTTCCAGCTGTGCAGGCGCTCCAGTGCCGCCCGCACGCTGCGCCCTGTGAAGACAGTGCCAGCAGTGCCAGCAGTGCCACCCCCCCCCTGCTGCTTGGCGACCTCGTCCTTCACCTCCTCCAGCTTCTGCTGCAGCTCTGCGGGCAGCACACGTGGGACAAGGGCGAGGGGGGCAAGAGGGGTGCAGTGGTGTTGGTGCGCACTGGCAGCGTGGCGGTGCTCTTCATGCACGCACCCAACATGCAGCACCCAGGCTGCTGCTTCACCTCATCTCGCGTCCGTACTACTTGCCCCTGAGGGAGACCCGGATGCACTAGACATCCCGACTCCGCGCTCTTACGCGGAGGCCGTAGAGGGTCCCTACTCCTCTCAGTGGCAGGCAGCTATGGATGCAGAGATGGCGTCCTGGAAGTCCACAGGCACCTACGTTGACGCGGTTCCCCCTCCTGGGGCGAACATCGTCAGTGGCATGTGGATCTTCAGGGTGAAGCGGCCGCCGGGCTCTCCACCTGTCTTCAAGGCGCGGTACGTCGCTCGTGGCTTCAGTCAGCGGCAGGGAGTTGACTACTTTCAGACCTTCTCTCCCACCCCGAAGATGACCACTCTTCGGGTGCTGCTGCACATAGCCGCTCAGCGCGACTACGAGCTCCACTCTCTTGACTTCAGTACTGCTTTCTTGCAGGGTAGCCTGCACGAGGAGATCTGGCTGCGCCGTCCACCTGGCTTCACTGGGACTTTTCCTCCTGGCACCCAGTGGAGCCTCCGACGGCCAGTCTACGGTCTCCGCCAGGCACCGCGTGAGTGGCACGACACACTGAGGACTACGCTTGCGGCTCTTGGGTTTGCTCCCTCTACTGCTGACCCGTCGTTGTTTCTGCGCACCGACACTTCTTTGCCGCCGTTCTACGTCCTCGTGTACGTCGACGACTTGGTCTTTGCCACAGCTGACACTGCTGGACTAGCCTACGTGAAGTCCGAGCTGCAGAAGAGACACATGTGCACAGACCTGGGTGAACTGCGCAGCTACCTTGGCTTGTAGATCACTCGGGACAGAGCACGCCGCACCATTACCTTGACTCAGTCACACATGGTGCAGCAGGTCCTTCAGCGCTTCGGCTTCACGTACTCCTCGCCTCAGGCCACTCCTCTGTCTACTCGCCACTCGCTCTCAGCTCTGCCTTCGGATGAGTCCGTAGAGTCGAGTGGCCCGTACCCAGAGCTTGTTGGCTGCCTCATGTACCTGATGACCTGCACACGACCTGACCTTGCATACCCTCTTAGCATTCTTTCACGCTATGTTGCTCCTGGGAGACACCGACCAGAGCACATGGCTGCAGCGAAGAGGGTGTTGCGCTACTTGTGCAGTACGTCGGGCATGGGGCTAGTGCTTGGAGGGCGGAGTCCAGTGGTCCTCACTGGGCACGCGGACGCTTCTTGGGCAGACGACCAGGCTACACAGCGGTCGTCGCAGGGTTACACCTTCAGTCTTGGTTCCGGCTCTGTCTCGTGGCGGGCTACTCGCTCGTCCTCTGTTCTCAGCTCCAGTTGTGAGGCTGAGATCTACGCCGGGGCCATGGCTGCACAGGAGCTTCGCTGGCTCACCTACCTGCTGACTGACCTTGGAGAGCCGCCTCGTTCTCCTCCAGTGTTGTACGTAGACAACAAGGCCATGCTGGCCTTGTGTCGAGAGCAGCGCTTGGAGCACAGAACGAAGCACATTGCTCTCCGTTACTTTCTTGCTCGTGAGCTGCAGCAGCGTGGTCAGTTGCGACTTGCGTACGTGGCCTCTGAGGCCAACACTGCTGATGTGTTCACCAAGGCACTTGCGCCTTGTGACCATCAGCGCTTCTGCACCCAGCTGGGTCTTGTACCTGTCTTGCCTCACTTGCTCTCTTCTTGACCTTGCTTGTACTGTCACATATATATTCCTGCTCTTGCTTGTCTAGCTCTATATATATATGTGTACTCCTGCATGTGAACTGGCCCTGTTGCCCTGTCGTTGTGCTCGGACTGTGTGGTGACTTTGTGATCCACCCTGAGCTTGCTCTGCTTTGCTTGACTGGTCTTGTGACCCCTTGTTCTCCCCCACTTTGCCTATGGGGGTGTGTCAGAACATATATATAGCTTATGCTGTTGTGTAGGCTATAGTGGGGTATCCCATAGGGGGTACAACCCAATTAGGGTTTCCCATATGTACTCACTTCATTCATAGTTCATCGATTCTCGTTCTACTCTTCTCAGGAGAGGCCGTCTGCCCTATCGCACTGTAAGAAAAGCTGCAGGTCATCTATCCAGACGTCAAAGTCAATGGCCCGACCCTCAGCGTCAAAAGCGAGGACACTAGGGGTAGCCATGACAGCAGTAGACTAGCAGCGCAAACAGTGGGGTGAGGGCAGTGCTGTGAGAGAGGCGCTGCTCTTACCGGACAGGGCGGCTCGGGCGGCTCGGCTGCAGGGCGGCTCGGCGACTCGGCTGCTGGGCGGCTCGGCTGCTGGGCGGCTCGGCGGCTCGGCTGCTGGGCGGCTCAGCGGCTCGGCTGCTGGGCGGCTCGGCGGCTCTGCTGCTGGGCGGCTCGGCTGCTGGGCGGCTCGGCGGCTCGGCTGCTGGGCGGCTCGGTGGCTCAGCTGCTGGGCGGCTCGGCGGGGCCGCTGAGAGGGCGGCGTCCGGGGCCGCTGGGAGGAGGCGGCGGGGCCGCTGAGAGGAGGCGGCGGGGCCGCTGAGAGGAGGCGGCGGGGCCGGAAAGGTAGGTGGCGGGGCCGCGTCAGGGGCCGCGACAGGGGCCGCGTCAGGGGCCGCGTCAGGGGCCGCGGCAGGGGCCGCGTCAGGGGCCGCGGCAGGGGCCGCGTCAGGGCGCCGCCAGGGGCCGCGTCAGGCCGCGTCAGGGCCGCGTCAGGCGCCGCCAGGGGCCGCGTCAGGGCGCCACCAGGGGGCGCGTCAGGGGCCGCGATAGGGCGCCGGCAGGGGCCTCGTCAGGGCGCCGCCAGGGGCCGCATAGGGGGCGCGTGGGAGGCGGCGTAGGGGCCGCGTAGGGGCAGCGTAGGGGCCGCTAAAAAAAAAAAAAAATTAGGGCAGGGCGCAATGTGCGCGGGCAGCTAAAAAAAAAATTTCTTATGGTGGGCCCTTAGGAAGGAACGGTCCCATGTAGGAACCCGCTCTATACCATGTGAATCAAGAAAACAGGAATGAAATGACTAAGTGAAAGTTGGGTACAAAAGGCAAACCCTAGGAAACTGTACCCCATATGTGCTACCCCACTATAGCCTACAGTAGCTATGTCAAATAACTCTGACAATCCCAACATCCGAGCAGCCGGCGGACTTCCTCACAAAAGGTCTGCACTTTCCGGCCTTCAACCGGTGCTCTGTCGCGGTCGGCCAGGTTCGCATTGCCGAAGTCGACGACGACGACGTGCAGCAGTAGGTGCCATGTCCTCTAACATGGCTGGTGCGGTGATCGGCGTGCGGGGGTGTGTACGCCAGAGAAATGTCCCCTTGTATTTTATTAGCTAGGTTCTGGGTGGACCTTGTGTGTGGGTGCCCAAGCGTGAGCTGGGCAGGGGAGTGTCGAGGAGAAAAGGCCCCGCCCTCGCTTGGGCGAAGTCGGCCATGCTTTTTAGAGCACAACGGTGTTCGTTTCGTGGTCATCGGCGACTTCAGGGACTTTTATCTCTGAACGACGGGTCGATTTTCGACGAGATTAATTCGTCGAAATTGAAGTGTTGTTTCTGCTCAACGCAACTGCCCCTCGACGAGACACTTGTTGAGGGGAGCAAAACGGCGTCAAAATCGAGCCTTGCGGGTCGACGAAATGATAGAAAACAGCGTTTCGACGAAACGCTTGTCGACAGAATTAAGCTCGAAACAGGCACCGTCGAGCAGAGCGTCTCTGGTCGACAAAATTACTTGTCTCGAAAATTTGCGATGTGCGCGAATTTCGACCAATCGCGAAACAGCAAATTTCGACCAGTCAGAGCATTTCGGAAATTGTACTCCCCAGGAGATTTCGAATCAGTAAGAAATTGAACCTGAAGCACGTTTTTACTAACAGTAAAAACGTAAACAGCTCTGACAGTTGTAAACCTGAGAAATTGCCAATCCAGGAGAAAGACACAAGTGTTTGTCGTTTCACCTGCCGTTGCTGACTCCGCAAAGGTGTATGATTGTCGAGGAACGTTTCTCCATGGTTCATTGTGCTTGCTATTTAGGGATCTCCTTCCTTGTACCATAATCTTGTTCTATCAATTTTTCCTTAGTGAAACTATGCTCGAATTCTACTAAGTCATTCAAACACTCTGTCCAGAATCACTGCCAGAACTCTGACCGTGCATCACACGCAATTCAGTTCTCCCTTAGAATAGAATTCTCCGCAAAGTGTGTGTCTTAAGGTGAATGCGAGAGTAAGTGCGAGTGTGAGTGCAAGGGTGCGTGTGAGTGTCATTGCGTGCGCGTGTAAGAATTTGTGTTAATATGATTGGGAATGAAAACGATAATGCGTGCGAGGGTAAGTGCCAGAGTGAACGTGTAGGTTTGTATATGTGTTTCTGTGGGTGTGTCTAAGAAAGTCGGGAGTATTTGTGCGTGTGTGAGTGGGTGCGGGACTAAGTACAAGATTGAGTGCGAACGTGAGTGCAAAGTTGAACTTGAGGGTGGCTTCACGGTATGGCATCATGCTGGTGTTGTATCTATGGTGCCACGACTAATACCAATTTACCTCTATGAGCTGTCAAATCGATTGCTCATCTTTTTCCGTTGTGCTTATTTCGTCTCTAGTGTGTGAGCTGCATTCTCTGCTTTTGTCGTCTTGTGTAATGCTATGAGGTGTACTCTCTTTGTTTATGCTTTTCTTATGCAGTGTGGGTGACTTGTTTCCTGCTTGGCCTCCTCGCAGGACACATGAGTTGCATCCTCTGTTTTTGCTTTCTTGTGCAGGGCGTGTGTTGCATTCTCTGTTTTTACTTTGTGCAGGGCGCGTGAGCTGCATTCTTTGATTATGTTTGGCAAAAAAGGGAGATGAGGGAGGCCATGGAAGGGAGAGGAGGGAGGGAGGGAGGGAGGGAGGGAGGAGGGGGGGGAGGGAGGGGTGTAGGGCGGGTAAGGGGTGATTGGCTAGTGATGATTTATTAATAGCTGAATTTCATGATGGCTGTGTGTTGACTATCCGTATGTATCCCTTGTTTGCGTGCATGTCTGTATGTGTGTGTGTGAGCCCGTGTAAGTGTATGTGCAGTCGTGTTGTTTGTATC